TTTGACTGACTTTAGTTCTAATGTTAATTTGACTTCAACCCATAAGTAATTATTTAAATTAACTCTAAATGTCACATGATGATGGATTAGGGTTCCACATTTCTTCCACTAATTTGTTTTACAATTAGGCTAAAGGTAAAGAGAGACATTGATGACCTTGTGTCCCTTTTGTTAGTACGTGGTTCCATTTTGTCTATGGCCATGGACGGCTTCACTAAAAGTCACCCAGTTCTGCCCTGCTGCAGTCCGGCTGAGTGCAGTCACAGAGATGCTATGGCTGCTCTACATGACATTAATGGTCTGGTCTGAATGGACACCATTTCCTGCTCCCAGAGAGAATGACACTCCTCAAACTGAACATTACAGCCGTTGATACTGTCTCACATGGGTCTGCTCCCCCCCACTGAGCCATGAACTGAAAGCATGACATCTGCTATGAACACTTGGAAGCCTCCCTGTCACACCAGCACCAACCCTTGGGTCAGTCAGATGAGACTAACGGCTTCACTTAGGGCATTTGGTTCAGATACATGACTCTCGTTACCGCAGAGTGGGTTGTTTTTAAGGCTATTCATACTGCTATGCAGAGGACGCCTGTAAGTGGGCGAGCTGGTAAAAGCCCCTACTATTGTTTCAAATAGGCCTAATGTCAGGGGTCTCTTAATGTCTAGTTCTACATGTATTCACATTATATAGACAATGTTTCCACCTAGTAAAACTAAAGGCTGCACGAAACTCAGGCTACAATACAACCATTCTGTTCTGCTCTAACGATTCAATATATAGATTCTACATCAAAACAATTAGCTTTTATTGTTTCCAATGATAACGTCACCTTCAGTGGAGGAATGCAAACCTGTTTTCAAATGTAAGGTTTTGATTTTGTTTGACATTTCTCAGTAATGACACCCTCAGACACCCAATATCATTCATGCTATGCCATCAGTAATAACTCAGATGTTAAAGGGATGAAACTTTTCCTCCCAAATCAGATATGCTTTGTTTTTCAACAAATGTATCAATTTCCTGCATAATATATGTTTATCACAATTGGTTTTTGTAAGCTGCACACAGGTGATACTGAGTCTTCTCGATTAATAGATTATAAACTATACCATGCTTAAATAGACTCCTAAGTTATTATTTCATATGTACCATATGTAAGAAAAGGGAGGGAAGAGTCAATTATATTGAGTAATTTATTTTATATTGGGTAATTTATTTCTCAAACCTATGTTTTATGGAAGAGACAAAATATTTCTGATAAACTAATATTTTATCAAAAGGTAAATGGTGAATTAATATACATTTAGAATCATTGAGAAGGGGTTATATCCAGTGGTGTAGTCTACTTTTTTGTAGTGGGTATACTGTAATAATTGTACTCATCCATCCTAGAGCGACGCATCGCGGAGCGACACCTGTCTCGAAGCAACACCTCATGAACACCATCACACTCACTAATGCATAGACTAGTCTTCTTAAATTCCCGAGCCTGACTTTCAGTCCACAAGGCTGGCCAGGAGCTCTCATCTGTGTCCGAAACAAGGAGATAATATAAACATTGTGTTCTGTTTATGACTGCACAAACACACATACACACATACACACACATACACAAAGCTACACACACACAGCCAAGGGTGTAACTTTGGTTTGAGAAGTGGGGGGGACACAAAACAGGGGGTCCTCCGCAATGAAATATTTTCTCAATTTAATTCCATTTCCTGCCTTTCTACAAATATATTAGGGACTATAGTGTTAACAAATCCAAGAAAAATGTGTAGTGTATATAATGAGTGTGCACACTTATCTAGTATCCTATCCATGTGAACCTGTTTTATTTGTGATTACCTGACATCCTCTAGGGGGGTCCGGGGGCATGCACCCCGGGAAGATTTGTTTCTTTAAATTGAAGTTGAATGCATCAATCTGGTGCACTTTGAGGGCAACATTAAGAGATGTATGGATACAGTTCTCAACACTCATATGAAACAGAACTGTATATATTTCAATAATCAAAAAGCCATTAGAATATTCTCACAACCAATAACAAATCATTGATAAACTCCTCTCTCCTATCTTTATCTTACCTAGTCTGCTTTCTTTCTTTTTATTTATGCATATTTGACTAATCACTCCCCTTTCAAACTGTGTTTTTTATTTTTGTACTGACCTATAGTACACATTGGAAGGATTTCTTAACTTATTTTATATACAACTATATATTACATAGATGGAAATATGTGTTTACATAGATGACCAAACCGTTTGAGACCCACTGAGATAACTAGACTAAAGTTTACAACCTAATCACTCAGAGAGTCCTTTACCTCCCTGAGCTGACGTTATCTCTCTCAGTTCGACAGGAGAGGACTCTCCCTCTCCTTATTGTTGAAACAGCTTCTAATCTCCGTTAGCTCCGAGCTAGCACCAGATGCTAACAACAACCCACGTAACTCTCTCAGTCTCTCTCTCTCTCTCTCTCTCTCTCTCTCTCCTCTCTCTCTTCTCTCTCTCTCTCTCTCTCTCTCCTCTCTCTCTCTCTCTCTGTCTCTCTCTCTATGTCTCTCTCTCTCTGTCTCTCTCTGTCTCTCTCTCTCTATTTCTCTCTCTCTCTCTCTCAGTCTCTCAAAGTCCAACAGGAAAGAGCTCTCCCTCTCCTTATTGTTGAAACAGCTACTAATCTCCATTAGCTCCGAGCTAGCACCAAATGCTAAGAACAACTCTCTATGTCTCTCTCTCTCTGTCTCTCTCTCTTTCTATCTCTCTCTCACAAGATGCGCTCGTGCCACACACACACACAGACGCTCCTCCGTGACGATGACCGCTTGCGTAAAAAAAAAAAAATAAATAAATAAATTTAAAAGTGGGGGGGACACAAATGGGATTTTGAAAAGTGGGGGGGACATGTCCCCCCTGTCCCCAGTGGAAATTACGCCCATGCACACAGCTACACACATTCACACACACACACACACACACACACACACACACACACACACACACACACCACACACACACACACACACACACACACACACACACACACACACACACACACACACACACACATCACACACACACACGCAGTATCTCGCTCCCTTTCTCTTCCATTGATCCACCACACTAACGTTGATCAAGTTAGCTAGTTCTAACCAACTATCCCCTGCTACAGTTACGTTAATGATAACCATGCTAATTTCACTTATCGGGTAACTTTGAGGTAGCGCCGGGCTCGTTCTCTGTCACCTTTAGGACAGCCGCCTGACCTGGCTCTTCTTCTGTAGTGGTAGTAGGGGAAAACTTCGGAAAACATTGAAATATTGTCGTCTGTTTCGTTTCATGTTTGCTTCCTGTTTAGCGCCCCGCGAACTTGAATGGTGGACGGATCAAATTCTGATAACGTTAGAGAAACGTGGGGTTTGTCAGAGCCGAACAAAGTGTGTTGCTGTTGCTTAGCGACGTCCAAAAGTATTAACACAGAAGGGCGAAAGCGTGAAAGCGCAGTCACAAAATGATGTTGTTACGTATCATCGCTCATTTTTAAGAGGGTATACGGAAATCACTGGCATTTTCTAGTGGGTATACGGCGTATACCAGCATATCACGTAGACTACACCACTGGTTATATCCACAGGGACAAGCTCACCTTTAACTTACAATATCATTTCTCTGCTATGGACTGATGAGTATATGATTCTTGCATGTTCAATGACTAACACAAACCTTCAAAATGATAATGTGCATGTGTCAGGAAGGCTCCCAAATAATTCTGAGGGGCCTACTTTTGTGATTAAATGATAATGTGCTAATCCATTATTTTGAGTTGTCTTCACTCAGAAAACATCCCTATCAAGTGTTAACCCAATAACTAGGACAGCTCTCAAGGCCAAGGGTCAGAGAGAGAGGGTCACACTCTCCGGGTGCAGAGAGCACCCCCAGCCACGTGCAAGGAAGCACGAGGTCGTTTGAGATGGGATGCTTCTCTTCACCTTTCTGATAAGATGGGATGCTTCTCTTCACCTTTCTGATAAGATGGGGTTCTTCTCTTCATCTTTCTGCTCGGTGGGCTCTAGCAGACAACCCTGCAGGACGAGCGAGGGCTTCAGAGGTTTCTATAATACAAGGTTCCATGTTTCTTGGAGGAGTTTGATGTCTTCCTAACCTCTCTCATCACGGGGGGGGACACCTGGATGCATCAGGAATACACAGTTGCACTTCTCTCAAGCAGATAGCAGAAGGAATACCGGCAGATGAGCCTCCGTCTCACTGGGGGGATCAGCTACAGAGCTCACTGATTGAGCCACACAAAAGCAGAGCAATTGGGGGGTTGAAATATGGCTCTCTGATGAAGAAGAGTTTGAGCCAATCAGCACCTCAGTGCTAATCTACAGTATCAGGATGCCTTTACACACCAGACACTCAGTGTCATAAAGGGAGGAGGAGAACGAGTCAGGAAGACTGACGGACATGTTCTTCCAGCTCTCGTACAAAGATGAACTTTGAATTGAATAACCAGATGTTTAAAGATGTACAATTAATGATTGTTTTTTTATATTTCCAATGACCAGACATGTGTTAAATAGTGGTGATAAATATATTTTGTCAGATCAGATTACACTTTCACACTAAACAAAATTAATACATATTTTCAGATTATAAGGTATTGAATATTAAGATAAGATATTTCTAATTATTATTATATATTATATCAGATAATGTTAATATACTTAATCATCCAGCAATCAGGCTTAACAACACTACTCTTTAATGTATTACCCATGCACAGACAGACCTAAAATGATGTTTCAAGTACTGGATTAATTTCAGTTTTGGCCCTCTCTGTGAACCAGTTAAAAGGTCTAACATAGAGAGAGGCTCTTCAGAATTGACGTGGCAACTCTACCGTGTAGTCAGAACCTCTGACTCTTTGACTTGTGATGTGAATCCTCCGGCCGATACTCTGAATAAACCCATCAGTGTTTGACATCAAAAGCTCCAACTCTCACCGTGTCTCCTTCCTGAGTCGGTGACTCCCAATGCATTGCTACACAGAAGTTTCCCCCACACCGGTCACACGTGCGACAAAAGTATCAGATAGGCTTCAATTTACTTTTGATTGTCTATGATTAACTATAACAAATATCTGCGTTTTAACACTACATTTATATATGTACTTATTTCTACGGTTTGCATATGAGGTGGTCCGCGAAAATCCTTAATAATAAATAGTGGTCCGCATAAACAAAACGTTTGAGAACCACTGCTCTAGTGGTCTTCTATCCATAGCGGATACATTTCAGGTGGTTTTTGAAGAAGTGGAGCTGCAGCTTTGAGATTGTATCACTCTTTGCAGGTTGTCTGAACCTCATGTAGCCCTTCTGTTTACGTCTTTTCTGATGTCCAATGGACACATGGCCACATGTTGCCACCATCAAGGAGCCCAGGCCATCCATGAAGAACTCTAGAAGAAACGACAGACATTTGCCATTTAAAAAAGGCCAACTACAATCATGTAGAGCAAAAACTGAAAGAGTTTAGAACCACCTCCACTTTGACTACAAACCATCTAGACCTACCTGAGTGTGCTACCCTCTTGAGCTTAGGGTCGAATCTCACCCTCTGTACGGCATCTGTACGAGCCAGGAAGAAGTTGACCACCCCACTGACCAATGAGCATTCTGGGTAACCAGGAAGAGAGTGGAACTTCCCTCTGGTCTTCCTGTACATGCAGCCACCTTCCATTTCGTCTCCTTCCTCATAGATGAGAGAGGAATAAAACTGGTCTTTTCCTACTTTACCGCCGAGCTGAAAGGAACAGAGAGACAAGAGAACTGCTTATAAACTGACTACCAGTTCATTGTGTACCTGCATTGTAAAGACGAAATAGTTGTTGGCAATTGGGCACCATCTCCAAAACTGGCCCTGGAACCTCTTTGATGGAAAAGGGGTATGAAAGTCTCACATGCTTCACAGCTCGTAGACACAACAAGTATTTAACACAAGCAGAGCCCTTTAGAAACGAGCCATTTGAGTCTTACCACGTCCAGTTCTGGGACCGCCTCCATCACCTTCACCATCTCTTCGATTTTGGTCCACTTGGTAAACAGGAAGTCATCGTCTACCCACAGGATGTACTTGGTGGTGACCTGGGAAACTGCCAGATTCCTGCCAGCAAACCAGCCCTGATGGAGGAAACATAATTGGAATCTTTTTCAATGGTTTTGCTAGGTGAGAAGCTCAATGCAATGGGTTGAAAGCTAATGCTTAATGTCGCGTCTCTTTGTTTTGTATTATGCTGGTTCTGCCTGTAGTGGAAACTCCACAATTAAACACATTCTGGTAAAAAATGAACAAACATAGAAGAAATGGTGACAGGCAACGAAGTAATTTACATTAGAGCCTACCAAATGGAAACAAAAGGTACATAAGACATGTTAACAATAACAGGTAACATCCGTATGATCATTTGCCTGACAAGGGTCCCAGTGGCACCCTTCTGTCTGTGGAATACAGAAGGAAGCCAGATAGGTGTATTAAAAGGTGCACAAGCCTCTGATCACAACCATACAGACTAGTTGCTGCCCATAGAGTCCTGTTGTGAACCCGGACATGTTGAGTTCCCCAACGTGCTATGTCAGAAATGTATAGTCACACCATTGCACAAATCTCTCTATTTCAGAGTGGTAATGTCATTATTTCACCAGCCTCCTGAGGGTTCCCGCCGCTGTCCTCAAGAGAGGTCCCACCGTATCGAGGCCTCCCTCCAGACTGTCCTCAAGAGAGGTCCCACCGTAACGAGGCGTCCCTCCAGACTGTCTTCAAGAGAGGTCCCACCATATCGAGGCCGCCCTCCAGACTGTCCTCAAGAGAGGTCCCACCGTAACGAGGCGTCCCTCCAGACTGTCTTCAAGAGAGGTCCCACCATATCGAGGCCGCCCTCCAGACTGTCTTCAAGAAAGGGTCCCACCGCCTTCGAGGCCACCCTCCAGTCTGTCCTCAAGAGAGGGTCTCGCTGCCTTCGAGGCTTCCCTCCAGACTGTCTTCAAGAAAGGTCCCACCGCCTTCGAGGCCACCCTCCAGACTGGCTTCAAGAGAGGTCCCAAAGCCTTCGAGGCCTCCGTCCAGACTGTCCTCAAGAAAGGTCTCGAGACCTTTGCTACCTTCCTGCCCGGCCCCCAGAGATTCCCCGCCCCCAGAGTTCCTCTCCCTTTTGCCCAACATTTCCTGCCAGTTCAGGTGTGGCCTGGTAAGTGAAGGCTAAGCCCCGCCTCCCACAAAACCAAATAGGCAGGAGGATATTGAACACTAACATTACAGTGTGTGGTTACCTTTCCTGGAGGCATGATGTAATGTTGGATGTGATCTCCAGTAATGTTCTCTGTTACAAAGCTGTCATCTGCGATGATGACTTCTATGTCTTTGTAAAACTGCCGGATGCTTTTCAACAACACCTTGAGTTGTGGGTAGCGCAGGAACGTCTTAGTGGTGATGGTGACTTGAGAGTTGATATCTGACATATAGAGAAGAAGAGTTATTTAAAGAAACGACACATGAAGACATCATGAGATCCACTGTCCATGCTGTTAGCTCATGTCTGTTCTGTTTACGTTTTCAGACCTGCACCGATCTGTTCAATTTGTGTCTTGAATTAGGAATGGATTATTTCAATGCTAACTGATTTGACTGATTTGACATACTTACACAACATTAACAGGATTGGTGAAGTAGTCCGGAATATACTGGACAGCATTTTAGCTTTTATATGAGATCACTGATTGATGGCTGAATGTATATCCCACAAAGAAGAGAAGCAGCTCCTTCCTGCCATGAATAAATGAGTGTTTTATCCCCACGCTGAGTGAACTCCTACCTGTTCCCATGTCGTACAGGACTGGAGGTTGAGGCTGTTTGATGGTAATGGGAAACACAGCTTCATGGTCCTCAAACTGGAAGGATGCTGAGTACAGAAGAGGAAAGCTAAGCTGTGTCTCTTTGATAAAACATTAGGTAATAAAAGCAATTACAAAAATAGTGGGCACACTAACACATTTCACAGACTCTAGATTAAACACACACAGAAACACACATTTACAAACAAACTTGTAAAACACATTGACAACTTTGCAATTATATTTGATTACATTTGCTCTAGTAGGGTTAGGGTGAGGGTTATCTTGTCCATCTCCTTGCTACAAAGACAGATTTTTGATATAAAGAGAATTCTTTATGTCATACCGAGGTCTCCGGTGTGTATGTGATAAACAGTGCTGGTATAGGACACATTAGCCAGCAGCTCATTGAGGGTCTCCAGGCTGCTGGACACCATCATCAGTCGGCTCTCACCATTACCTGTCATGGGGAGAACATATTATATGAGTTTATCTCCTCAACCTCAAAATGTGTATACTTTTTCATTTGTTTAACCAGTCACATTTAGTTAGAGCTCACCTTGGACCTTTGCTCGTGCAGCTGGAATAGTTGTACTCAGGACTCCTGTGGACACTTTCAAGGACACCTAGAGTCGACACAGCTCAGTAAATCTTCATCGTTTATTTTGCAAGATAAAAAAACCACATTGTTATCTAATCCAAAGATTAGGCAGCCCAGGAAAAGACGTCAAGGTGGAGAAATAGTTTAGTCTAGTTGCGAGAATAGTGTACCCCAAAGTGTTATGATAGAAATGTAGAGTAGGGTCCCCAGCACATAGAAGCTGCTGGATGCTAACCTGCTTATGTTTGCACAATTAGCACAAGTTGCATTAATTAAAATGAAAGGCATTATAGCCTATGTAAACAATAGTTGAAAAATGACTTAGCTGATTTGGACAACTTTGGAGTGGTGTTGGGGGTAATTGGAGATACTGAATGCATTCCTGACATTTTCAGGATAAGAAATGGCAGTTTTAACCAGAAAGTGGCCATATTTGTACTTTCGGTTGACTGATTTTGACTACCATGAGCAGTGTTGAGATGATTGGATAAAGAGAGCACAAGATGAATATTATTATTGTTTTTCAAATAAATAAGCAATCTGTCCAATCCAAATGATCCAGAGTCCCCCAAATGTCCCAAAGTAAGCCACATTTAATCTAAAAAAGCCCACAGAGAGTTCATACAGTATATCTGCATTTTCTGGTTAAAACTGCCATTTTTGAGACTGAAAATGTCAGAAATGGACTCCCGAACAACCCACAAAACCAAGCCATTTGTTTTAATATTGTCCACATAGGGTATAATTGTAATTAATGCTCATTAACCCAACATAATTGCCCAACATATGCAAGTTAGCAACCTGCACAGGTAAAGCTGGGATGCACAGATAGCCCACACCTTTTTGCATGAAAAAATGGTATTGGAATCGGAGGAAATCACAAAGTAAAGGCTAAAGTTAAGAAGGGGACCCAGGTTTCTCTGAAGGAGATCAGCTGTATCTGTGAGATTACACCAACCGTGTAATTTTTTCTTTGTTCTGCATGCAGTGCTAGACCTGAAATCAAAAGGAAGTGTGCTTTCATACTTGTTAGGGAATAATTCTTCTAGATATCTAACCTTTTGCTCTGTGACGTTTTATGATCTACTCTGACGTCTGTTATCTCCTTTAAGGAAAGGCATTGGTGCCATATGTGTTGTTGTCACCAGTTTGTGACCGGTCAACTTGTCTGGCACGAATGGTAATTGTTGTGAGAACGCTGAGGCACTTCTTTATCGGTGTTTGTGGACTCTAAGATGTGAAATCTTTGAGGCCATGAGTGTCGGACGCAGGTGGTTCAGTGTTCCCAGCTGTTTTGTCTACTCCTTCAGAGATGTTGATTCTCTGTGAACCTGTTAAAAGGTCTAGCATAGAGAGAGGCTCTTCAGAATTGACGTGGCAACTCTACCGTGTAGTCAGAACCTCTGACTCTTTGACTTGTGATGTGAATCCTCCGGCCGAATACTCTGAATAAACCCATCAGTGTTTGACATCAAAGCTCCAACTCTCACCGTGTCTCCTTCCTGAGTCGGTGACTCCATGCATTGCTACACAGAAGTTTCCTCCACAATACTCTTCATTTACATAAGTACACTCATTCACCTCTGGCTTTGTTGACTCTGTACTAAACCTAGGTAATGCAAATATATCAGGTTGTGATCAAACCAAACATCACAATCCAGCTTCCTGTCTAACTAGTTCTCGAGCCATACAGCATTAGTTTTTAATTGTATTTTAAACACAGTCTTCTGTTGTGTCACAATGAGAGTAATGAAAGGACATACTGTACGGTGTAGCATACCTGGGATGAAGGTGGGGGTCATAGGTCGTACTTTGAAACCCTGGATAGGGTACTGCAGGGGAGAGTTAGACGGAGCATACAGCCGTGTGGATAACACAGACTCAGTCCTGTTGGGGAGATAGGATGTGATCCATAAAGAAATGAAAGTAGATTTAGTACCTTGGCAATTAAGTTATGCTGTAAAAAAAAAAGAAAAATCACGTTTTTTTAGCACTTATTGTAAGTCGCTTTGGATAAAAGCGTCAGTTAATGATATGTAATGTAATGTAAATTATATACAGCGGGAGATTTGGATAAAACTGCAAATGCTGTGGAAATCTTAGAGGTTTTAATGTTTTTCCTAGAGAAACTTTTGATAAACATATAATGGACAGACAGGAGTTACAATGACGTAATGACATGTTCCTGTAATGATGTCATGATGTTATAATAAGCAGTGCAGAGGCAAACTTTGCCCAATTTAAAGATGTAGCGAGAACTTTTTTCAGCACAAACCAGAGGATAATTATCAGGAAACACATGGAAAGTTGACAAAGGGACAGGGACTGTAAAATGTTAAATGCAGGACTTCACCTTGAGTAACTCGAATAACCAAAAAGAGGCCAATGGAAAGCAGCCCATCCCTACCTGGCTGTGATGTAGGGACGATTTGTCAACAATTTAAAAAGGGGTATTGTTTGAAGTTACCAGGGTAATTGGTAATTCTGGTATAATAGTAACACTGTTGTTAATAAAACACAGTTATTAAACCCATGACACACCTAAATTACACTGTTATTAGACCCATATTACACCAATCTAACAGCAATCCTACACCCATATTACACATATGTCCCACAGCTTTTACACCCATATCGTACCCATGTTACTACTATACTACACTTTTATTAGACCCATAGAACACCCACATAGCACCAATATTACACCTTAACTACACAGTTTTTACACCAATTTTACACAAGCCCTTCAAATGACTGTATCCCCCAGGGTACGGAAACCATTTAAGGGTTGAGTAAAACAACTCTTCCCAGGGCGTCCCTCCCTACAGGAAGATCAAGCAGACTGCATGGGGCCTCACCTTGCGACATCTCACAAAACAACAAATACATTTAAGCTACATCCATATGAGCATTACTTTAGAATACCATTCAACAAGTGAACTTCAAATAGTTAGCAAAGTTATAAACGAATTGAGACACAAAGCACATGTTTATATAACAGTTAACACTAACCTTGTGCCTCTTGCTAACACTGAAATGTAAACTTTATCTTTTGATGTCGCCGTATTTAAATGTTGATATGTCCGTTAATATCTGTTATTTTTCTCCGTCAAGTTTTTGCTTTAGGAACAGTAACTTCCTGCTAATAGCGCAAAGTTACCTTCAAAATAAAGCATGTCTATAGAGTGGCGAAGTCACGCCCATCTACTTCCGACCCATGGGACCTTATTTCGGAAAAATAATGTATTGAAGTCAATGGAGAGAGAAAACGTATCTTTCGATCCCGTTTGAATTGTGCCATGAATTACACATATGATGTTTGTCAATCTTAAAAAATCATTTCCATGTCAAAAAAGTCACAGTTTGTCGTAAAACTGTTGAAATATAAGACTATGAAAAATACGCAACTAGAAAGACTATAAATCCCAGAGTCGCGTAAGTGATGTCACAATTGTTTTCCTCCACTAAGAGATAGCTAAGATCAGCGCCATATAGATATAATCTATCTATATGGCGCTGGCTAAGATAAGATAACTTTAACAAGATGCCTGTGTGCTTAGTACCAGGTTGTTCATACCAGCAATGGGTCTTGCTCGTTCTTTCGCTTCCCGTCTGATGAAAGGACCAGGAGTGTCTGGATCAAGCTAGCTAGTAGCTAGCACGTTAGTTAGCATTACAGCCATGCCATTTTTATTAGCCTTAACATGAAGTAACATTAAGTAACCCAAAATGTTAAACAGTAAGAGTAGTAGTCATATTTCGTGAACCCTTTGAATAGTACTGTCACCGGTGTGATCATTCTATAATACACCATTTAAGACCGGGGGAGAAATGCTAACGCTAACGCTAGCATCTGCGATCTTCTCTACTTCATGCTATCTGCACAAATGGTTGACATTAAACATTAAAACGACCAGGCAGTTCAGAGAGAATCAAAGGAAGGCAGGCAGGCAGCTTTGCATGACATTCTTCAGGACGTGTTTCATTGTGGTGATAGTGAGGGAAGTCAATCGTTTTGTTGACATGACAGTAGTGACGGCCATCTTGGTGACGTGTGTTGTTCTGTGAGACCAGAGATGTAGTTCATTGAGCGTTTCACACAAACAAATGTGTTTCTTCACAGTTTTACGACACATCTTTTTTTTTTTGACTTGCAAAATTATCTTTTAAATTGACAAACATCATATGTGTAATTCGTGGCACAATTCAAACGGGATCGAAAGATAATCTTTCTCTCTCCATTGACTTCAATACATAATTTTTCCGAAATAAGGTCCCATGGAGGTCCACCGGAAGGGGAGGGACTTCGCCACTCTATATAAAACAGGAAGTTACGTTAAGACATGTATACAATTGCAATGAAAGTAATAAAAACAATGCCATCTCCTTTTCAGGTTCAAAGAACACAAATTGGGTTATTTACATAAACTATTCATATTGCAAATACATACTTTTAACCAGGAAGGGAGGCGGACATGGATATGACGCATGGGATTTGCAATGTCGCAATATACTGTGTCGCAATATTTAGCATATCGTAGAATCGCAATACTATCGTATCGTGGCTTAAGTATCGCGATAGTATCGTATCGTGGGGAGCCTGGTGATTCCCACCCCTAGGATTTAGCATAACCAACAACGAGGCCAATGGAAAGCAGCCGCTCCCTACCTGGCTTTGTGTTGTTGGAACTCCTTCTCTCTGCGTTTTATCAGCTCCACCGCCTGATTCTTAGGCACCAAGTTTTTGAGAAGCATTGAACCGTTGGCACAGGTGCATGGACCAGGGGAGGGAAGATGACTCGGTGGAAGAGGGGGTGGCAACCTGTGAAAGTGGGGGTTACATGGAAGTCCTGAAGTGAACATTCATTTGACTTCTTTGTCATATTATCAGTAAAGAACCCCAATGACCAACCACACGGTATCCTCCATTTCTGAGAAGTGAGGCTAATTCAGAAGCGCTTTAAACTGTTTTTCAGGTGGAGACCCCACAAAAACAAGTCCGATTGTATGAAAAAATAACCCTTGTTTCATCGGGATTTATTAGATAAGATCAGATGTACTTTATTAATCCCAAATGTTTTCGTTGCAGCAGCATAAAACTAAAAAATGCATTGCATATAAGTACAAATAAAAGAGTAGAAATAAACAATATACAGATGACCGTGAAGATAACACATCTATAAACTGTCTGACAAATGAAAACACCATTGAAGGGAATGCACCGTTAACATTTTCCTGATGAGTTAATGTTCTTGATCTCTAGTTTTAATTATTGTTCATTACAGCATGATGTCCATTGAGTAGATCATGGTCCCACTTAGAGTAAAATATACTAATATTAATATAAATATAAATATATAATATACCTGTATAAATAAAAAAAAAATTTGAATTCAATTTAATTTGTATTTTATTCTTTAAATGATTGTACAAAGTATATTATTATTAGCAGGCTCCATGGACCTGTCAGCTCCGGACAGCGCAACATGCATATATGAAGCGCTACGTCATGAACGCAAGAAATCATACCCTCGTGGGGGCGCGCTCATGTGATTGGCTAAGAATGAAGGAGACATCTGATTGGCTATAGATAGAAAAAATTACGAGTACGAATCGGGTGACCGTCAGGGGAGTCTCAATAAACCCACACACATGGTCCCACTTAGAGTAAAATATACTAATATGAAAGGGGACCTATCATGCAAAATGCACTTTTGTACGTCTTTTCTACATGAATATGTGTCCCCGGTGTTCCAGGGAACTCACCAAGTGTCAGAAAACACAACCCTCTCTATTTTCCTCCATACCCAAATCTCTAAAAAAGGGGCTGCAACGGATCTGATAAAAACTGATCCAGATTTGAACACTGTCCTGACGTCAGGACGGTGGCGCTACGGCTATTGGGCCAACTCCACCAATCAGGAGGAGACAGCCACGGCCATTGCCGTTCGAAAGCGCTGGAGACGCTGTAGTACATATGCCAGGCCTCTAGATGGTGCTGTTCTCACTGAATCAACCCTTGCAAAAACAGAGCTAACATTTTTCAAATTGAGCGAAATGAGGCATGGCTAAAATGCATGATCTGTTTGGTATTTTGAAAAAAAAAAAAGTATAAATATGCCTTATATAGGTATGGTCCTACAATATATTAGTCAAATATAGCATGATAGGTCCACTTTAATATAAATATATAATATACATGTATAAATAAAAATACATGTTTAATTCAATTGTATTTGTATGTTATTCTTTAAATTATTGTACAAAGTATATTACTATTGTATCCATTATTTGTACACACACACACACACACACACACACACACACACACACACACACCACACACACACACACACACACACACACACACACATACACACACACACACACACACACACACACACACACACACACACACAGAATTGGATACTTTACCTCTTTGTATGTTGTGAGGGAAGTGGGTTGGCTTCAGGACCTCCAACATTCCCATTTATAAACAGATATGAAAGAACACACACCAACATACACCCAAGAGTAGCAGTCTGAAGTGTTGCTACATTACAAAGAGCCATCTGTAGAGAAACAAAAAGACAGACCATTAACCATGATTCCTGAACCATGAGAATGGAGAAACAAAAAGGTTCAGTGAGAGGAACGTATGATGCCAGTAAACAAGAAGTAGGTCAGCTGTCCATGTCAGACATGACACTTGCTAACCTCACTAACCCAGACAAAACAGAACAGAACTGAGGCGCCTCATGTGACAAAAACACCAAGAAAGTGTCATCACTGGATAAAATGACATTATAGTTGACTGTAGTATAAAAGAAACCTTTATTCGTAACAGTGTTTTTCCTACGGTATAGTGCAGTTTAATAATATAGTGTAATGTGAGGCTGTGAACACGGTCAGATCAGTGTTTCCATCAGAATGTGTGTGTAACTTCATGTGGCCAAGTTAAAAAAACAAGGCCTCACATTAAGAGTGTTCATGTCAAACTAAAAGGCCACCTTTAGTAGGTTCAGGTAAACTATTCTTCACAATATCTGAAGTTAATGAGGTACGAAGTTACGATTACGAGTAAAAACTCCCCTCTCTCGTGCTGGAAAACTAACAAGGTCAAGTGTCGGTCAATGTAGTGACCATGGACACCTGTAAGGAAGCGTAACATGTATGTTAATATTCGGGTGGTTTACCAGCCTTCACCTCGGTCAACCAACAAGAAGGCTTTGGCTATAAAATGCAAATACAACATGTGTTCAGCAGTACAATCCCGGGGTCTCTTGCATCGCACTCTGTCTGCCTCCAGCACTTCTTCTGAACCTGTTAGTTAATTTTTTAATGCTGCAGTAAATAAGCCATGAAGTTAAAAGTGTTGAGAAGGATGTCCGGACACTTGCCAACTTCCAACAACTGGAACATGCAATAACAAGTTTTTTTATGCTATTCAATAAATGTCATCTATTCTTATCCAAACACCGCGCCCTATTAACACGGCCAAAGTGTGTCCACACAGAATTTCCCTGGAAAGGTACAAGAGTCTGTGCATCCTTGTACTCTATGTACTCTATGTCATCTTTGTACACATAGAGTAAAAGGATACACCCCGGCAAAAATTATAATATTATTATAATTTCAAGACAGACAGTACGTTACATGTGTTGTAAAAAGAGGCTGCCTCCCCCCTGAGATGGTTTGAATTAGGCAGACTTCCAGCCGTTTCGCTGACAAACGTCATGGCATGCTGGTTTGTAAAAGAAGCCCGAATCCAAGCAGAAAAAAGACACACTTAAATGATAGAAAATAAAATGGATTTGTCAAGCACCTGTAATGCAGAGCCTTCACCTAGATCACCTGCTTTAAATTAAATGTGACAGAAGCCTACGTCAGTATCACCAAACAGAGCGAACACATGTCACACTCCCCGGTTAAATCTCTATATTCTTCTCTTTCACGGTGGAAACACCCGGTGTGGGCATCATCACCACTTGTCTTGTTTTAAATACATTACAGTAGTTTGACATTTATTACTAAACTATACAAGTTGACAAACATCACAATCATTATAATACATCATTACAAACACCACATTCAATAGTTATAATAGTAAATACCTGATGGTTAAACAATACTCCAGGTGTCTTCGTCTTAGCGCACTTCAGACCTGTGTTAAATCTGTCTGTGAGCTGCGTTGATGTTATCCTGTGAACCTCAGGGCTGGCACACCTGAAACAGAGCTGTGACCATGTGATGAGCTGTAACAATGTGATGTGCCAGACAGAGATTTAAATATTCACCACACCCACTTGTGTTGCATACTGTGGAAGCATTTTTTACAATTTAAATTCATATTAACATCACACACACACACACACACACACACACACAACACACACACACACACACACACACACACACACACACACACACACACACACACACACACACACACACACACACACACACACACACACACACACACACACACACACACACACACACACACATATGTGTATATATAATATACATGTATAAATAAAAACATTTTTTAAATTCAATTTAATTTGTATTTTATTCCTTAAATTATTGTACAAAGTATATTAGCAGGCAGGCTCCATGGACCTGTCAGCTCCGGACAGCGCAACATGCATATATGAAGCGCTACGTCATGAATGCAAGAAATCATACCCTCGTGGGGGCGCGCTCATGTGATTGGCTTAGAATGAAGGAGACATCTGATTGGCTATAGATAGAAAATATTATAAGTACGAATCGGGTGACCGTCAGGGGAGTCTCAAGAAACCCACACACGAATGCACAGCGATCCATGCACAGAGAGCGGGTTGTGTTTGTAGGTGCAGCGGTTTTAAACGGAAAACAGATATGTGAGGATCAAAAATACATATGTAAAACTTTTTCTGTATTTGGATTTTATTTACATGAATATGAAACGGAACACATTTGTGTGTGCATTGAAAAACACAAGTGCGGATCATGAAATACAAGTGTGAATCCTTCTGAGCCCATAGAACACGGCTTGTTGCAACTTTATCCTCCTAAGGTCTTCAACGCTTGCAAGCATGAGTTAGCACCACTAGTGAGTCACATTTATATACAAAGCATCTATAACATTTCTACATGTAGTAAAATTGGACCATGTATCTGTAAAACAATAAATCATTACACAGTGACGCTAGTGATGGGAATTATGGCTCTTTGAAGGCAGCCGGATCTTATGGCTCCGTTCCTTTCAAAGAGCCGTTCAAAAGAGCCGTTCAAACGGGGGCGGGGTTACTAGGTTTATCTGCGAAATAATCACCAGGATAATGATTGACTGTATTGCCAGACCTAATGTCAATAATCTGCATTGTAAACATGACACAAGGTGGCGCCATATCCATGTCATTCATGTCAGTGAATCATACTACTTTGAATTGACCCTCTGTATGTGTTAAGTAAATAAAGTTGCCTTGCCTTGAATGAAATTCACGCTACTCTTAATATTAGATACTGTGTTATTAAAGGTAGGGTAGGTAAGTTTGAGAAACCGGCTTGAGATCGCTAGAATTTGAAAATACACAACCAGAGAAAATCTGCCACTTCCTTACAGAGCCCCTCCTCCAACACACACGAACGCGCACATGACCAATGAGGGCACGAGATAAGTTTGTGCACAGATGGAAGGCTGACAGGCAGGTAGGCCATCCAGTTATTTTAGCCGGGCCGGCTAAAATGATTGGTCGTGCTTTTTACAGTATTATGGCTTCCACAGATGACATTTTTTATGGATTTTTTGTCAAAGCACTTAAGATATTCATTGCTATCGGGATGTTAAGAGCATTCCATGGAATATAACAAAAAGTGTATCTCGAGCCGGTTTCTCAAACTTACCTACCCTACCTTTAAGTGGCGATGGAGATTATTTGTTGACCCTGCTTTAACCTGTTAAGCAACAAGCCTGTTTTTCATGTTTCAGGCTCGAAAATGACATGCCCAAAACAAATGACTACAACTTAACTTCTAAAAGGGTTATATGAATAATTTATTTTATCAAAGCAAGGTTACATCTGTGAGTTGGATGTAGAAGTGTCAGAATCAATATAGATGTTTTTTATTTGAAAGAAAATTCAGATTTTACATAGTAAAAAACTGTAAATTATAGTGTCCGTCCAAATATTCTTTTTTACTTATAGTGAAAACTACCCTTGGATGATGGGTTAGTAGACTAAAAGCTTTAGGAATCCAAAGTACAACATATAATAAGTACCCTGTATCAAGCTTGATGCAAAACAAGTGACATTTGACCTTTTTAGAGAGGTTTAGCCAAAACCACTCCACCTCTGAGGTGATTTGGGTGAAAATTGTTTTTTTTTTCATATCTCTGGCCCCCCTTGGTCGATTTTGATGGTTGACACCTCTTTCTGACCGTTAGAGCCAATAGAATCGAAGGGGGAGGCCCCCACACACACACGTTGTGAAGAGAAAAGGTGGGGGCTGCGCGCATGTAATTTTGCAGCAGAGTGGACCGATCTCTCGCTCTGACATTTGGAAACGAAAAAGCAGTTTTATTGCTTATGGATTATCAGAAATCATTTCAAAGAGGACACAGACACATTGGATTAACCTATGGATTAACTGCAGCATCGTTTTTTTATCGTTTTAATGCCATTGAAGACCAGTTTTGACCAAGGTAAGCCATGTTAGCGTTTCTAGCTACCTAGCTCCACATGTTATGATGTACGCTTTCGTTTATAGCGTCGCAAATGTTTATCATTGACTGTTGAGGTTTTTTACACAGATTCTGTGTCTCCAGGAGATGCTAATCGATGGGTTGGCTATGCATCTAGGATAAGTAATAAGGGAGTTATGAGTGAGTTTAGGTGCAGTTTTAGGTTACATTTTTTCGCTCGTGGCTAATTCAGAGGCTGAGTGTTAGCATTGTGGGGTTTTTTTGAAAAAAAAAATTAAAAAGATCAGTTAGCTGAGTTTCTTCCCGTTACATGGATATAACACATTCATAGTTTATTAAATATTAAGATTCCTTAGACGTTGTTTCCTGCAAATGACGCGTTTATCCGCCCGGTTCCGGGGGGGCGGTGCGTAACAGGTTAAAGGATATTTTGCCTTTACAAATAGTGCGCTTTATCACTGCCTGGGTTTTGGTTGAAGTGCATCCAAATGCTGCTGCGTTTTTCCATCCGAAAAACACGTCGTCTACCTGTCCTGTACCACTTGTTATGACTTCTCTCTCTCGCGTATTCCATTAAGACCCACCCCATCTCACTCCTCGTGCTGAAACCTACCAATCAGAGTAGGAGCGGGTCTTCACAGAATACGTTTGGGGAACAAAATCAAGCTTTTTAAAAGGCGATTGGATTTTGGCAGGCAGTGAGTGCGGACCAACGATTGAACGATAATAATAATGGCTCTCACCAAGTACGACTCGGTTCCCCTCGTTCGTACCAAAGAGCCGTTCATAAGAATCGGCTCGTTCGTGACCGACACATCACTAAGTGATTTTTTCATATTTTATGACATACAATACTCACATTTATAAAAATAGTATACTCTGACTTATTTCATATTTTTGAAAGTACTATGCTCTGACTTAAGACGTACTATATTACATTACATTTTGACATAACAATTGATTTGGCTTACGCTTTTATTCAAAGCAACTTTTTAATATATACAGTATACCGTACGTTTTTCATATTTTCGCACCACGAAAACCGCAAAACGGACGAAAACTTTCCATAACATTTAACGGGTCTTCAGTGTTCGGGGATGAAGGATAGACAGCAGAAAGCGACTTGTTTCATATTTTCAACATACTGTACAATTTATTTTTTCATATTTTATGACATACTATACTATGACTTTTTTTCACATTCTTTGACATACTATAATTTGACCTTTTTAATATTATTAACCATACTACAATATGACTCTTTTCATATTATTATTTGTTATTTGTTTCATTTTATATACCCTTAATCGTCCCACAGAGGGGACATTTTACATTCTGCATTTGACCCATCCTAGTGTTAGGAGCAGTAGGCTGCCATTATGTACATACTATATTTAGACTATTTTCATATTTTTTGACATACTATACTTGGACTTTAAAAAAAAAATGTATGTTGTATACTATAACCTTGTTCATATTTTATCCCCATGAAAGGCACGAAAAAAAGTTTGTTTAACAAAAAAAACAGTGTGAACCTGTTACGCACCGCCCCCCCCGGTACCGGGCGGATAAACGCGTCATTCGCAGGAAACAACGTCTAAGGAATCTTAATATTTAATAAACTATGAATGTTTTATATCCATGTAACGGGAAGAAACTCAGCTAACTGATCTTTTTAATTTTTTTTTTCAAAAAAAACCCACAATGCTAATACTCAGCCTCTGAATTAGCCAAGAGCGAAAAAATGTAACCTATCACTGCACCTAAACTCACTCATAACTCCCTTATTACTTATCCTAGATGCACAGCCAAACCCTCATTTTGGGTCTCCTGGAGACACAGAATCTGGGGGTGCCCACCTCAACACTCAGTGATAAACATTTGCGACGCTATAAACGAAAGCGTACATCATAACATGTGGAGCTAGGTAGCTAGAAACGCTAACATGGCTTACCTTGGTCAAAACTGGTCTTCAATGGCATTAAAACGATAAAAAAACGATGCTGCAGTTAATCCATAGGTTAATCCTATGTGTCTGTGTCCTCTTTGAAATGATTTCTGATAATCCATAAGCAATAAAACTGCTTTTTTGTTTCCAAATGTCAGAGCGAGAGATCGGTCCACTCTGCTGCAAAATTACATGCGCGAAGCCTCAACCTCTTCTCTTCACAACGTGTGTGTGTGTGGGGGACTCCCCCTTCGATTCTATTGGCTCTAACGGTCAGAAAGAGGTGTCAACCATCAAAACAACCAAGGGGGGCCAGAGATATGGAAAAAAAAACATTTTCACCCAAATCACCTCAGAGGTGGAGTGGTTTTGGCTAAACCTCTCTAAAAAGGTCAAATGTCACTTGTTTTGCATCAATCTTGATACAGGGTACTTATTATATGTTGTACTTTGGATTCCTAAAGCTTTTAGTCTACTAACCCATCATCCAAGGGTAGTTTTCACTATCTGTAAAAAAGAATATTTGGACGGACACTATAATTTACAGTTTTTTACTATGTAAAATCTGAATTTTCTTTATAATAAAAAACATCTA